TTTTTTTTTTTTTTTGGGTATGGTTTTGGGGAAGGAAAATGGGATTACTTTGTATCTGGCTCCATGAGAAGAACGTTTAAGTTTAATGGAATTTTAAGTTTCCTTTTATCTATTTTATTTGTGTTAGTATTTATTTTATTTTACTTTTTTCATCTGAAAAAAAAAATAAAAAATAAATACTAAAATATGATGTGACAATGTGTTAAAAAGTTTAGAAGTGGTTTAATTTGGCGAATTTATAGAACCAGATTTAGTTGAATATTCCAACGAGAAATTCAACAGTTATATATTTCAATCGAAATTTCAATGTAAATTTCAATTATATAGCTCTTGTTATAATAATTTCAACGAAAATTTTTTTGTGAAAGGGTTCCTATTGAAATTTTAGTTGGAATTGATAGTCTAAAAGGCTATTTTTCCAATGGTTTATTACTGTTGGAATACGTAATTTTCGTTTTTTTACTCATACTTCAATCGTTAGAAAAATTGATGTTTGAATGTCAAAACCCAACGAGAATTCTAATAAAAAGTTCATTCGAATGGAATATTTTCATCGAAAATTCCAATGGAAATAATTGCATTGAAATTTCTGTTGTAATTCCATTAGAATATATTTCTATTAATTTTTTTTCGTTGGAATTTTATTTTTTTCTTGTATTGGTTAGGACTTGTAACAAACTGGGGGAAAAGGAAAGCCCATATGAAGCCCAAATGAGGTTCCATCTCAAAACCAATTGGTGAAAGGAGGAGTAGCCCATTAAACTTATTAAGTGGGTCTATTTTCCATGTATTAACAATGTGGGACAACTCACAAGTGATATTCTAACACGCCCCCTCACTTGTGAGTCTGATATCATGTCTCTAACCCAGGCACAAAGTGGGCTCTGATATCATGTCTCTAACCCAGACACAAAGTCGGTCGGGCTCTGATATCATGTCTCTAACCCAGACACAAAGTGGGCTCTGATACCATGTAACAAACTGGGGGAAAAGGAAAGCCCATATGAAGCCCAAATGAGGTTCCATCCCAAAATCAATTGGTGAAAGGAGGAGTAGCCCATTAAACTTATTAAGTGGGTCTATTTTCCATGTATTAACAATGTGGGACAACTCACAAGTGATATTCTAACACTAATATTTATGCTACAAGTATATAATAATATATATAATTATGTACATAACACTCACATCACATGTAGTGGGTCCACTTGATTATTTATTGGAAAATGCTACAAATGCATAATAAATGTACATAGAGGTGTACATAACATTTACATGTAATGTGGTCTATTTGATTTTCATTTTTTTTTTATTTTTGGTAGGTCTCACTCAATGTGAGTGTTATGTACACCCTATGTACAATATTATGTACCTATAGCATTTGTCTTATTTATTTTTTGTCGGTCTCACTCAATGTGAATGTCACGTACATCCCTATGTAATATTATGTACCTATAGTATTTCTCATATGGTAAAATGTTTGGTGGTGGTGACCAACAGGGATTGACTTAAGTGGTAAACAGCTTGATATCGCTTAAGCAAAGTCTCGGGTTCGAGTTGTTGTGGATGCAGAAAACCCTTGTTGGGAGACTCACCCACCACTATCAGGTGTGCAACCCGAGTCGACAAACGGATTAGTCGGGGCATAGCTCCAGATACCGTGACTGGCTAGCAAAGAAAAAAAAAATGTTGGGTGGTGGTTTAATTTGGTGAATTTAGAGAACCAAATTTAGTTAATGTCTGATTGATTATTGTACATCAGTTTTATATATTAGTTATGCAAATCTGTCGAATTATGAGTATTATTGATTAATTGCGAAAAAATGCATGAATCAGATTAAGCTAGCTGCTATACCTTCAGTTAAAGGGTGTAAATTTATGCTAAACGGCTCTATTTTTCAATGTAAACTTTGCACAAAAGTAAAGTGTAGCTTTAATAATGAGGGAGTGTTTTAAAAAATTCCAATTTAGACTGCATTTCTTAAATTAAGACATGATAAATAAGAAATTATTTTTGAAAATGACAAGTTAAGTTATTCATCAGAAAAAAATATATATCAAAAAAATTATCTA